TGTGTGTGTGTGTGTGTGTGTGTGTGTGTGTGTGTGTGTGTGTGTACCACAGTATGATTGTGACATCTGGTCTCTTCTTCTACCATTGGTTCCTAGAGACCAAACTCAACCTGTCGACCTTGGTGGCAGTCACCTTTCCCTCTGTACCATCTCGCCTGCCCCAGCTTGCTCTAGCACAACACTAAGAAGTTATGTCATGCAGGCCAAATACTTTTCAGTTATTTCTGTATTTCAGGCAACCATCCGAGGAAAGTATTACTGCCCTCCCTGTCTTAAGACAGTGAACCTCACATTGAATGGTGTTACCCAGTGCCCTCCATCCTTTGGAGAGAACACACCTCCCCAGAAGCTTCTGCAGACTGTTTTCTGACCCTGCACAGCTTGGACTTACCTCACTTGAGGAGGTAATTTCCTGATTCAAAACTATAAGATCAAAGATCTCATCTGGAGCTCGGGGTTTAGCTCTATGGTAGAGTGCATGCCCAGCACTCATAAGGTCACGGGTTCCATTCCCAGTGCTACACACACACACACACACACACACACACACACACACACACACACACACACACACAGAGGGAGGGGGGGGAGGAGGGAGAGAGAAACTCAATTGTGACTCTTTATGAAATACTTCTCTTTGTTGACTGTGAGGTCATGTCTCTCGATTTCTTAGAGTTTCATTCTCTGTCACTTTTTGCAAGTTCATGATAATTCCACAACCCACTCGAACAGACTTGCCAGCACCCGCCGGCCAGTGCCTTGGCCGTGACTACCACTCCCCCAGTGACCTTGACTTCCCATCTGTGTCAGAAGCCAGCTCTTTACTCATGAGATCTAATAGTTCCTCTCTCTTCTTCCTTTGAGGTTAGGTGTGGCTTCATGGCTGAGTTCTGGACAAAGGAATATATAGTCCCCTGCCCGCACACTCATTTTCTCCGAGCCTGATGGAGAGTGCCAGAGGTCGGTGCTGAGGCCCTGGAGCAGCACCAAGGGAAAACTCACAGCACACTGTGATTGGAAAGCCGGAGATCAACCTGTGTGTGCTGGGCGCCTAAACTGGAGTGGTTCTCGTCTATCAGCCAGCTTCTATGGATACACACCTGGTTGCCCATCCCAACCTCAGACACTGCGATTACCAATAAACCTCCCCTGTTCCATCACCCCTGCCTTGCCCTTCCTCACCCCTGCCTTGCCCTTCCTCACCCCTGCCTTGCCCTTCCTCACCCCTCCTTGCCTCACACGATGTATTTTCAACTCTCTTTCCCTAACACTGCACCCTTAGCTCTGTGTGACCACACTCCCTTATTTGACCCGGACCTTTATTATCTGTTTTTTCCTTCCATATCTCCAGCTCCTTGCCCCTGCCTCTTTCCAAACCCGGCAAAGCCTCTCTGCCTGTGCCCAGCTGAGTTTGGACAGGGTAAGCATCGAGACTCTGCCTCTTTGGAAATGAATGACCGAATAACACCTGAGGCCGGGCTTTGCTGAGCACTGGCAAAGGGTCTCCCACGCGGCTCCTCTAGACAGGCCCGACCGAGACCGACCGCTTCTCACCCTCTAGTCTTCCACTTCTCCTCCCCCTCCCCTTTAGCTCTGTCCCAGCTGCCTGTTTCCCAGGAGAAAACAGCTCTCCCGCTGCCACACAGCAGCCTCCACCAGGGAGCCTGCGCCTCTCTGGCATGGCCTCCAGCAATGGTCTCCTCTCTTCTCTGCAGCGTAATTATTTTGCTTTAGATCTTTTAAAAATGTATAGATAGATATTGCGCCGGGCGGTGGTGGCGCATGCCTTTAATCCCAGCACTCGGGAGGCAGAGCCAGGCGGATCTCTGTGAGTTCAAGGCCAGCCTGGACTACCAAGTGAGTTCCAGGACAGGCGCAAAGCTACACAGAGAAACCCTGTCTCGAAAAACCAAAAAAAAAAAAAAAGTATAGATATTCATTGTGTGTGTGTCGGGGGTGGGGGTGGGGGAATGGGGTTTGCATGCTTGTAATTCTAGTATTCTTGAGACTGAGATAGGAGGGTTTAAGTTTGAGGCCAGCCTGGGTTACACAATGAGACTCTGTCTAAATTAAAAAAAAAAAAAAAAAAAAAAGCAACTACAGAGAATAAAATGTACACACACTTTAGATATATTGAAGAATGGCAATCTGGAGTGTCCCTGGTGAACTTTTGTGTGTATACTCATACACCTGTGTTACTGGCACCAGATCAAGAGAATAGGGTGGGTAATTTTTGTTTTGTTTAATTTTTCTAATCCCTCCCTCTCTCTTTCCTGTGTGTGTGTGGGTGTGTGAATGTGGATGTACAAGTGTCACTACGGGTGTGCAGAGGTCAAAAGATGTCCTAATTAGCTTTCTATTGCTGTGATAAAGCACTGACCACAAGCAACTCGGGGAGGAAGGGGTGTATTTCTTCTTACACTTTCAGATAACAATCCATCACTGAGAAGAGTCAGGGAATGAACTCAAGACAGGAACCTTAAAGCAGGAACGGAAATAGAGTAGACTAGCAGAGAAGACTAGAAAAATCGGTGAATTGGTGCTACAAGGGCCTTGCTGACATCTGCAAGTGCCATTTAGGTAGAGAGGAAGAGATGAGCAAATGGCTGGAGTGGACTCAAGGGAGAAGGGAAGGAAAGGAAGTGAAAAACAGAACATCTAGAAAATGCCAGAAATGTTACTGAAAAGGGAAGCGAAGAACGGAGCTGTACACGGGACCAAGAAATTCTTGTTTTTGTTTTGCTTTTAAGAGATAGAAAGAACATGAAGTCGGGTGGGTGGGGAAGGTGAGGGGGGTCTCCATTCATTCAGTGATGTCTTCACTGTGCTTCTGGGAATTTACCTCCTTGATATTCCCTCCTGTTGTGAGGTATTTGATTACACTGTGTAAAGATATGTCACTGTGACTGGTTTAATAAGAAGCAAAATGGCCAAAAGCTAGGCAGGCGGATAGTTGGGACTTCCGGAAAGAGAGAGCTCTGGGAAGAAGAGAGGAGGAGTTGCCATTCAGACACAGAGGAAGCAGGACAAGCAGGAGGAGAGGTGACAGCCACGAGCCATGTGGCAGCTCGTAGAGAATAGAAATGGCTTCATCTGAGTTGTAAGAACTGGTGAGAAACAAGCCTAAGCTAAGACCAAGCTCTCATGATTAGTAAGAAGTCTCCATGTCGTTATTTGGGAGCTGACTGGTGGGACAGAGAAAGATTCATTACACCCTCCTCTTTACCCACCATCATTGCGGGTGTCTGTCTATGCGACACAAATCTAGACATATTCGGAAGAGGGACTCTTAATTGAGAAAATGTCTTCATAAGATTGTCTGTAGGAAAGTCTGGGGGGGATTTCTTGATCAGTGATTGATATGGGAGAGCCCAGCTCCCTGGGACTCGTGCCTGGGCAGGTGGTCCTGGGTTCTATAAGAAAGCAGGCTGAGCAAGCCAAGAGGAGCAAGCCGGTGAGTGCATTTCTCCGTGGTCTCTGCATCAGCTCCTGCCTCTCAGTTTTTTTGCTTTGAGTTCTTGCCCTGACTTTCCTTTGTGACCGAGTGTGACCTGAGAATTGTGAGCTGAAATAAACCCGTTTCTCAGCAAATTGCTTTTGGCCACACTGTTTTATCACAGCAATAGAAATTCTGAATCCAACGTCACGGCTTGAAAAACCACCCATCCTCTGATTTCTTCCAGATTTTTATCTCCAGTCTACACTTCTGCCCTGACGTCAGCTTGTATGACCTCACCCCCTACCTCTTCCTGTTGTGGAAATTGCTTTAGCTGTGTAATGATGTATTACATTTGTTTATGCTGCAGAATACGACTTTAACTGTGTAAAGGGTGTTACATTTGTTTATGCTGCAACTGTTTAATGATGTAAGGATGTGTGTTTAATTATGGAAAGATGCATTGCATTTGTTTCACCTTGCCTGCCTTACCTGATTGATCTAATAAAAAAATGAATAGCCAATAGCTAGGCAGGACAGGGAGAGGAGGGGCTGGCGGGCAGAGAGAATAAGTAGGAGAAGAGAAGAGAACAAGAGAGGGAAGAGAGAAGAGAGGGACACCTGGGCCAGGGGCCAGGAGCCAGGCAGCTGCCAGTCAGCCATGGCGACAGACAGCAAGAAAGTAGGATGTGGGGGGGGGGGGTGGAAGAAAGGAAGGAATAAATGTAAAAAGCCCTGAGGCAAAACATAGAGGTTAAAATAAATTAATTATTTTTTTAATTAAGATAAGAGCGAAACGAAGGCCGAGCATTGATAACTAATAAAAGTTTCCATGTCACGATTTGGGAGCTGGCTGGTGGCCTAAGAGAAAGCCTGTTACATATGTGCTCCGGCTTTGCAGGTCTCTTCTGTCTTAGAAAGTCCCAGTCCGGCCCAACCTCACTTAGAGTCTGTTCTCGCTGTCTCCTCTCTCTAGAGCACTCCTTCCTAAATGTAAATGTGTGCGTGGCTGGATCCTTGTCCTTCAGGACTGAATGAACCAACAGGTGAATGACTGGATGACTTGAAAGTTATACTTCTATTATATTAACAATAGTATATTACTAATTGCATCTATCACTATCTAATCTACCTATGTCTATATACATATATAGATATAAAACCTTGACTATCACAATGGAAAGTTTAACTTTGGTTGCATAATACTTTAGAGAAATTTTAATCTTCAAGAAACCAAATAGCTAGACTGAAGGCCAATTTCCATCTTCAGGGTGTTTTGCTTTAAATCAGAAACTAGACATAGAAAGTCACAATCTCAGCAGGGTGATGGTGGAGGTAGTGTACACCTTTAATTCCAGCACTTGGGAGGCAGAATCAGGCAGACCTCTGTGAGTTCGAATCCAGCCTGGTCTACATTAGTGAGTTCCAGGACAGCCAGAGAGCTACAGTGAGACCCTGTCTCAAAAGAAAAAAGGGAAAAAAGGAAGTCACAATCGCGTTTTGTCATTCGTAAGAGGAAGAAAGCTGGAATCTTCTGCAAGTTTAGCCAAATCACCAAAATAAGGCATCAAATCTTATTTGGATATTATAGATGAGGTCCTTTTGTGTGCACATGTGAATGCATGTGTGTTTTAGATGAGGTCTTGTGAGCATGTGTGTATAGATGAAGTTCTGTTGTGTGCATATGTGTGTGCATGTGTGTAAAAATGAGGTCCTATTGTGTGTGTGTTCATGGAGTTCAGCATCATTATCCTCCTCCTAATTCACTAAGCCAGGAGACCGCTCAAGCAATTTCATTAAATTTAATGAGTCTCATTAAAGAATACTTGTTTCCCCCAGAAACTGAGGCCATCCAGCTTTTAGTGTGAACTGGATTCCGGTGCAGCCACAGAGAAAATGGAGACTCCCAGGCTGTCATTGCCAAGACAGACAGTTTGTGCTTAGGGGAAGCAATTGCTCTTCCCTCCCCGAGGGAGACCCGAGGCTTTGTTTTCTGAACACAATACAAACCTGTAAGAAATAAATAATGCGTGCTGGGAGCCTGCTGCTCCTCATTAATGGGAGCCCAGTCTCTGTGCCTCATCCCGAAGAACAGTTCAGCACTGAACTTTAAAAAATAGTTTTTAATTATTACATGTGTAAGTGCAGGTGCGTGCAGAGTCAGGAATCCCCTGAAGCTGGAGTCATAGGCAGTTGTGAGCTATTGGATGTGGGTGCTGCGAACTGAATTTGGGTCCCCTGCAAGAGCAATTTGGGCTCTTAATCGCTGAGCCATTTCTAATGGCCACCATCCCCCAACTTTTTTTCTAGTCATCAGTGATCAAAGATAATTAGAACCAAATTAGTAAGGAAAGCTGATTTATAAAAAAAAATGTTTGCTTTTGAGACACAGTCTCACTTTGTAGACTTGCCTGGCCTGAAACTCATTATGTAGATCAGGCCGGCCTCAAACTTCCCATTATCTGCCTGCCTCTGCCTCCCTCAGGGTGGAGATTACAAACTTGGGCCACCACACCCAGCTTTAGAACATTTTATATCAAGAAACATTAGCCAGGTGTAGTGGTACAAGCCTCCAACCCCAGCAGTTGGGAGACAGAAACCGGAGATTTGGTGAATGAAAACTGAGGACATGACTCCTAGGTATGGCTGAGGAGAAGGTTTTATTGTAGATATTTGAGAAAATAGAGGCATCCGGAAGAGTCCAAACTTAACTGGGCCATGATGGGATGGGGGAGGATCAAGAGAGAAAGAGAGGGGACCAGGAGCGGAGAGAACCAAGAGAGCGGAGTCGAAAAGGCTGAGTTTATACAGCAAAGAGAAGCTGGGGGACGGGAATCGGAAGGCCAGCCCCTGGGAGGGAGGGGTTTAGGGCAGGGGGCGGGGTGAGAGGCGCAGGGAGGAGCCACAGGCACGGCGTGACACCTGTCCTGGATTTCTTTGAGACTTAACATCCTCTGTGCTATATAGTTTTTGAGTCTGAGGCCAGCTTCCAGTCCAAAAAGAAAAGAAACAGAAAGAAAACCTGACGGAGCTGGTGTGTGGCTCGGTTGTAGAGCACTTCCTAGTATGTGGGAAGTCCTAGTTTCACCCCTAGCAACAAGCAATAACAACAAAACAAATTTAAAAATTACACATAACATATGCTGGCTTTTAATAATGTGTAAATGGAGTGTTTCTGTGGTGATGCGTATCTGTTCAGTCTTTCTCCCTCAGGGTCGTATTGTTAGGAGGAAGTAGCTCGGAGGACAGTGGACTCGCCTGGCATGCGAGAAGCCGTTGGTTCAATCCCCGGCACCACCTATACTGGCATGGTGGCTCATGCCTGTAATCCTAACCGTCGGGGTGAAAGCAAGATCAGACATTCAAGGTCATCCTCATCTACACGGTGAGTTCCAGGCCAGCCTGGGCTACATGGGACTCTTCCTCAAAACCAAATGTCATATTGTTAAGTACAATTTTGCAATGTTTTTCTCTCTTGTGTTAAACGGTGTCCCACGCCACTGCCTGTTCTTGGACAGCATTTCCAGAAGGATGTGCAAGGATTTACTTAACTGGTTCCTCGCGGTGACTGGGGTGTCTCCAGTTTCCTGTCTTCTAAACAGAACTTGGGTGTGTATTGTCTCGCTGCTTCCTCAGGGTGACTTCCAGAGAAGCAGAGGTAGTGGGCCACGGGCATGAACCTCGTCCCAGCTTCTGATTCTCGTTACCAAACCCTCCAAACATGGCGCCAGTCACGGTCCTGCCCCTGGTGGACTGGAGCACCATGGAACACTGCAAACACAAAACAAGCCCTGCAAGTCGGGTGGTTCCTCTCTTGGGTGACCTTCCGGAAGCCTAGTGCTACAGAGGGAGCCTCAGGGGCTGGTTCAGTCCCTGCACGGAGGTCTTGCTCTGCCCAGGCTTAATCGGTAGCTCCCCTGCCAAAGCCAGCAGGTCGGAGAGACAGTCCGCCACACACAGTGTGGCTCCGTTCCTTCACTGCCTGCCACTCCTCCAGGACCACCTTCCAGCAGCCCGGCTGTGCAGCAAATTGCTGTCCCACCCGGCTCCCTGCCCTTCTTGCATGGCCTGCAGCTATTGGCTCCACTGTGTCCTCCAAAATTGCCTAAAGATCCTGTCCTGGGTAGGAGTAGAAGCCCTGACAGCAGGCGCTGGTGCCTGTCACTCCGAGTTGGCCCTCCCCTGTGCAGAGGTGGACACCCCCCCCCCAGTTTGAGGTGTCTAAAAGCCGAGGCCCAATTATCATTGATATCACAAAACTCAGCACTTTCCCCTCCATTTCCCCCAAATCTGAAGGAAGTGAATAAGAATTCTTTACATGCTTTTAAGTATTTTTTGTGTGTTGCTATTGTTATCGTGAGTCAAATCTAAAACAGAAAGGAAGGGAGGCCTCTGGGAAGTCTTTGACCTCTTACATCTTTACTAAGTGAGGTCCCCAGCTTTTAATATTTCCAACGGAACTGCGGACAAGGTGGTAAGGGCGGGGAAGGGTGTGTTTGTAGGGAAAACATTGTTTCTGGACAGCAGAGAGATAGAAAACACCTGTGGGTTTGTAAAAATGACCTCTGATTCAGTGTGGGGAGGGGTTGCCAAACACCATTTCCCATCACAGTCTCCAACTGGAAGCGCCCGTGTGTCTCCCGACACCAGACGGAGAAATCGGCTGCAGTGCATTTGCGCAATCGATTACCGTAGCAATGAAACACCCAAATGTCCTTGCCCCAAACGTGGAAGCTGTTTGCAAATGCATCATTAGCTGAAAGAATCCCAGAAGATGGCCTTTCAAATGACACCATTTATACAAGATTCATGAATGGGCAAGAAGCAACTACAGTGTGTAGACATGATTGTAAAGTATAAAAAGGGAGCGGATTGGGGCTGGAGAGATGGCTCAGAGATTGAGTGCTGGATTAACCTCCTAGAGGTCCTGAGTTCAATTCCCACCCAGCAACCACATGGTGGCTCACAACCGTCTGATGAGATCTGGTGCCCTCTTTCTGGCGTACAAGCATACATACAGGCAGAACGCTGTATACATAATAAACAAATAAACAAAAAAGGAATGGATTCCACACAGGAGTGGAAGGGGTCACGAGAGGGCTTCTGGGTGCTGTTGGCAAGCCTTTCTCCCGCCTTCCCTCCTCTGTCGTTTATGCAGCCCAGGCTAGCCTCAGACTTGCAGCAATCTTCCTGCCTCAGTTCCCAGAGTGATGAGGTGGGAGGTAGGCAGTGGGCAGAGCGGGAAGAAGTAGCGCACAGCCCTGGAAGGAGGGGTTGTTAAGGTCAGTTTTCTAGCATCCTCAGCTTGGTCCCATCTATCTGCCTCCAACACATGGGAATTTCTGCTCAATAGAGTATCCTCTGCCGCTACCCACGACACTTTTTTTTTTTTTTTTTTTTTTTTTTTTGACAGTTCTTGTTGGTCTTGAACTCTTAGCTTTCTGGGGTCAAATGATCATTCCATCTCAACCTCCCAAGCGGCTGAGAGCACAGGTTTGTGCCTCCAGAGCTGGGAGCAATCTCTGTGGTCTTTGCTACCCTGTGCTTATTTATTCTCTCTTGTTTGTTTTACCTTTGTTAGAGCTTGAAATCAAATCCAGGACCTCACACATGCTGGGCAAGCAAGCACTCTACCGCTGACCCACACCCCTGGCTCTGGAAGTGCGGGCCGGGAGATGGCTGAGCACAAGAGCAGTGCTGTGCTGTAGTGGCCTTTTCTTTTTCTCTGACTTTCTTCTGGGACTCGGCACAGATTTCTAGTCATCTGCCACAATGAATTGACAAGAGGAGACTCAGAAGGGCCAGTGATGAAGCTACAGCCCCAGAACATGTCAACTGTCAAAAAAAAAAAAAAAAAAAAAAAAAACATTTCGTTGGGGTGGATTACAGTGCAGAGGTTCAGTCCATTCTCCTCATGGTGTGACCTGGTGGCTGTGCAGGCAGACTCGGTGCTGGACAAGTAGCCAAGCGTCCTACATCTTGACTTGCAGGCAACGGGAAGTGGTCTGAAACACTGGGTGTGGCTTGAGCATATATGAGACCTCAAAGCCCGCCCCCACAGTGACACACTTCCTCTAACAAGGCCACACCTCCCAATAGTGCCACTCTCTTTGGTGGCCATTTTCTTTCAAACCATCACAGAGACCAAGAACACAGTAAGAGGTAGGATTTGGCCTGTCGGCGGTGGTGGTGCACACCTTTAATCCCAGCTCTTGGGAGACAGAGACAGGCAGGTCTCTGTGAGTTTGAGGATAGCCTGGTCTACAGAGCGAGTTCCAGGACAGCCAGAGCTACACAAAGAAACCCTGTCTCAAAGAACAAAAGCAAAATGAACAAACAAGAAAGGTGGGATTTGAACTTCTGATTCTTGAAGCCATGAGCTTTCCATTTCCCACTATTCATCCCTCCAATCAGCTGGGTTACTCACCGACAACAAGGACTGTTTGCACGATTATTTATTTATCTTTTGGAAATTTAGCCTAGCTTTTATTTTATTTTTTTTTTTTTTGGTTTTTCGAGGCAGGGTTTCTCTTGTGTAGCTTTGCGCCTTTCCTGGAACTCACTTGGTAGCCCAGGCTGGCCTCGAACTCACAGAGATCCGCCTGCCTCTGCCTCCCGAGTGCTGGGATTAAAGGCGTGCGCCACCACCGCCCGGCTAGCCTAGCTTTTAAAAAGCAAACTTTTAGGACTTTTGGGTGGCTCTGTGGGTAAAGGTGCTTGCTGCTAAGCCTAACCTGAGTTCAATCTCTAGATTCCACATATTGTAAGAAAGAACCAATTCTTGAAAGATGTCCCCTGGCCTCCACATATACACTGTGGCATGTGCAACCCCTTCAAATAATTAACTAAATAAATGAATGTAAAAACAAAACAAAACTTTTATCTTTGAATGCAATGTGTAGGTCAGTTAGAACTTAGAATCCCCAAAGCAAATAACTTTATTTAGGTCTTAGGAACTGAAATTTGGGAAACACAGGTTCAAATGATGCTAAATTAGCATTCCAAGGGAGGGAGGGAAAGTTGATATTTCTGTACTGAGAAGGGCAGGGTGTAGCTAGAGTTGTCCTGCCCACAGTCAGGACAAATCTCTATCACCTGCCAGTCCCACAGCTGCTCAGATCCGTCCAAGTAAACACAGAGACTTATATTGCTTACAAACTGTATGGCTGTGGCAGGCTTCTTGCTACCTGTTCTTATAGCTTAAATCAATCCATTTCCATAAATCTATACCTTGCCACGTGGCTCGTGGCTTACTGGCATCTTCACATGCTGCTTGTCCTGGCAGTGGCTGGCAGTGACTCCCTCCGCCTTCCTGTTCTCTCAATTCTCCTCTCTGTTAGTCCCACCTATACTTCCTGCCTGGCCACTGGCCAATCAGTGTTTTATTTATTGACCAATCAGAGTAATTTGACATACAGACCGTCCCACAGCAGCAGGGGCTTACATAGGTGATAGAAGATAAAAATAATTGTCTATAAAACAAGAGCCAATGGTGCATGCGCACACATGTACGTTTTCTTGGGGGTTGAAAAAAGTCTCTCTCACAGGTTAAACAAGTGCTCTACTTGTGAGTTACATCTTTAGCCCTTGTTATTATGAGACAAGGTCTCACTAAATTGCCCAGGCTGGCCTTCAACTTGCAATCCTCTTGCCTCCAGCTCCCGAGTATCTGGGATTATAAACGTGTGCTGCCACCCAGCTCAGTAGCCTCTTGATACACATCTCAGGTCTCTGGCACAAAAGTAGCTATGTGATCCCTTGTTTAAGATCTCTGTCTCCTCTCTCTCTCTCTCTCTCTCTCTCTCTCTCTCTCTCTCTCTCTCTTTAAGATATTTCAAAGTTCTAGAACACAAGTCAGCCATATTTATATTTCCCAGAATTCTAAAATTGTGTATTATGCAATTGTGTAAAATGAGTATTCAGATGCCGGTTGGTGGTGGCGCACGCCTTTAATCCCAGCACTCGGGAGGCAGAGCCAGGCGGATCTCTGTGAGTTCGAGGCCAGCCTGGGCTACCAAGTGAGTTCCAGGAAAGGCGCAAAGCTACACAGAGAAACCCTGTCTCGAAAAACAAAAACAAAAAAATGAGTATTCAGAACACATTTCAAAGACACAAGTGACCCCGCAATGTTGGTGCCAATTACTCTATCTGCTGCACTTGTGAAAACGACAGGAAAATTCCAACAAACACAGCATTGGACTCTTCAGGATGGAGCTGGGAGGCCACTGCCTGGGGAAAGTCAAGGATGTCTGCTTGGTCCTCAGAGAGAAAATCAAGTTTCACCAGACAGAATTACAGTCTGGGTTTATGAGCTTGCTCGACTGACTTTGTTTCTGAGTCTGGAATTGGGCAACATTTCCTTACGTAAAACGCTATGAAGTGTTCCCACGAGAACAGTAGAAAAAGTTGGGTTTTTTTTTTTTTCCTTTCATTTAAAAATACCTCAGGTTGGCCTCAAACTATGTAGCTAAGGATAGCCTTGTAATTCCTATCCTCCTCTCTTTATCTTCTAAGTGCTGGGGTTAATAGTGATGGACCATCCCATCAGTTCATGTAAAGTCGGGGTTCGAACACAGACCCTCTTTTGTGTGCTAGGTGAGCGAGCCCTCTACCAACTGTGCTATGCCCCCAGCCAAGAGGTACGGGGTGGGGTGGGAGGGCTGTAACATCAGAAAAGGCCTAAAGAATGCAGAAAGTGGATTGGCCGTTTGAAGGTTGGGGGACACAGAGGAGGAACAATGGAAGAGCGACTGGTGGGTAGGCAGTAGGTTACTTCAGGCTGCTTGTCTTGTGAAAGAATTAAGACAGAGGGAACTTCCTTGTCGTGACTATTGAAACTTGCCTGTCGGGGAAAATTTGGCTCTGATCTCTCTAATCCTGATTTCTCAGAAGGCTGAATAAACAGGGTAGTTTCAGCTTGTTGGGGAGGAAGTGGAGCGTGAGTGACTCCATTTTTAGTTTGCTCTGCAAACTGGGGCCTAGTGAGGGAGTTTATTCCAAATCAAACAGCCCCGGGGAGTTTGTGTTTAATGTCTGTGGTGATGGTGGTGAAGCCCGAGGAAAGAATAAAGAAAGGATCAGCGACAGCCACAGGCCTCAGAGAACAGAAGAGTTAACACGCTGGAATCAGCAGGCCTCGTTGTTCCCCAGGAATCAGGGTGCTGAAGTGGAGCACAGCACATAGAGATAGAAACAAGGATGTTTAATAACCATAAGATCTGCCAAAAAGCCACTAACACGCAGACCTGTGTAAAGAAAATTCACCAGGCAGAGCGGCCCATGCCTGTAATCCCAGCTTGAGGCAGGAAGATCTGGAGTCTGGAGTTAGCTTGGGCTATGTAGAGAGTTCAAGGCTAGCCTGGGCCGCATAGGGTGTCAGGAGGCTGAGATATCCTGCCAGAGACTAAGAGAGAGAGAGAGAGAGAGAGAGAGAGAGAGAGAGAGAGAGAGAGAGAGAGAGAGAGAGAGAGAATGAATTCGGTTGGTGTCTAGGATGTTCTCTGTTTTCTTAACATCCTTCCTACATTGCCTTCTTGGCGTCCCTCAGAGGTGTCAAAGAGCCATGTGCATGTGGTGGGTCCACCAATGCTGGGAGAAAGGCCAGAGTGTCACAGCCCTGTCTGCAGCTCACAGTCCCAGACCTCACAGAACACACCACAGGTGATTCCTTTCCGGCCCTGAAAAAAGCATGCCCCAGCTCATGGGGCTTATGTTGCCGGGCAAGCTTTGGCATCACAGGAGATTAATTTGAAATGAGTTTTTTTCCTCAAGCAGGAAAAAAAAAAAAAGTAATTGAAAAAACTAAGGAAACAAGCTGAGAAAAAAAACCAAACAAAGAACAATGGTTGGATGATTCATGAGGTGGGGTTCTCCTTTCTCACACACATACAATTATTATTCCAAGATTGCAATCTGCCCGAGGCTGTCTTATTCTTTAATGACCATATTCTCTTTCAGAATTTTAAGTGTAGGTTAGGCCCGGACCCAGGCGAGAGTAGCAATGAAGGGTCTTTGTTATAAGCAGGTTCACTGTCTCCGCCGGCCCTTCCCTGGAGGACTGCGGCCATGACCCCGTGGCTAGCTCTGTGGCTCAGCCACAGCGGCCCCTGACTGGCCATGCGGTTCATTATGCGTGGCTACCTTTGGGGATGTCAGGATGAAAGAGGTTTTTTAAAACCTGCCTTGGTTTGCGCGGAGAGACTTAGGGGAGCCTGCCGTTGTAATATCCCAAGGCAGAGAAACATCTTACTGCTACGGGGAGCGCTTTCGTTGTCTTAACCAGTAATAACAAGGGGCAGCCAGCTTGCGTCTCTCCAGACAGGAAGAGCCGTCAGTTCGTACCGTTCACAACACACAATGAGTGAGCATCTGCCTTTTGTAGAGCCCAAAGCCTAGAAGTTCAGCCCTGCCCGGGTTTCCGTAAGAAGGATTGTGAATGCCCCTCGAAGGAGGCCAGGAAATGGTTTGCTCAGAGAATGACAGTTTTCTATTCACCAAGTTGGAATGAAATCTTTCCATTAGGGCCTAGCGGGTAGGTGTCGGGGTGGGTGTCCTAAAAAGCAGGCACAAGATTCCAGTCACACACGGGTTACTGGAAAATTGGGTGGGGACCAGCCTGGCCTGAAAGGAACCTACGAGAGAATATTTTTCTTTCAGGGGCTAAGGGCATGGCTCGGTGATAGACTTATTTGCAGAGTGCGTGAAGCTCTGAGTTGCACTCTCAGAACTGCTGGGGCACGGGTGTGGGCAGGACCTGTCAACGGTTTAAAAACTAAGGGATGATCTGGGAGTGGTGGCACACACTGGAAATCCCAGCAGGCAGGAGGCTGAAACAGAAGAATCACATGTTTGAGGCCAGCCTGGGCTACATGAGACCCTGTCTCAAACAAATAAAAGTGATAATGGCCCATAGCCAAATCTGGGTCTGGGAAACCGCCTAGGGAATGAAAAACTAAAAAGGAAAGGAGGACCTGACGGCCTCTCGGTACGGTGGAGGAGAAAATTTATTATAGATAAAAGAGAGAACGGAACCAGAGGCAGAGACAGCTGGGAGAATCCAGAGTGGGCATGACCCTGAGCCATGTGAGGAGGTGGGGCTCGGGGAAAGGGAGAGGGGAACTAGGTGTGGCAGCCAGGAGGCCCCAGAAAGAGGATCGGTAACCAAAATATCTGGATTATATAGGGAAGGGCATCTGGGGGTCGGGCAGACCAGTCCCTGGACTGGAGAGTTCAGGATAGGGGCAGGGTATGCCGGCCAGGAGGACCCAGTAACAGGCAGGGATTGATGGAAGAACCAGGCAGCTAGTGTTTGCTTGGGGATGTTAAACAGACTGGCTTTGAAACCTAACACCTAAAAGTTAGTATAGGATTCCCTATGTATTTGTGGTTTTGGTCCAGTTCCTCAGTTCCCCTCAGTCCCCCTTAACTTGTATGTAAAGCAGGGCTAAGGTTGTATCAACGTTACAGGGCTGAGGCTGGAGACA